TGGTAAATTATGAAGTATGAATTATTATCATTTATTTTAAAAAATTACCATGAAGCTGTCCTCTGATCGGTATGGCCCCTTCTACGAATTGGCGCGATGCTCATGACCGTCAAGCTCCCGACGGCGATGAACCTCGCTCCGGCCCGAAATGGACCAAGCGTTAGTTGTTGGGGAGGGGCCCCGCTTCATCTCGTCGCGAAGGGACGACGGGGACGAGAAGGCACGGTGTGACGCCGGGGGAATGCCCTTCCCCTGCTCGGTGGTGTGTAGGTACTGGGCTGGTACCGTATCTCATCGTGCATTTGGCGTCTCGTCCCGAGAAGGGCCAAATCGATCGAAGTCGGCGTAGGACGCGAAAGTTATTATCCCGTAGAAACGACTACCGTAGTGAAAGTTGCGTACGCGGAAACCACTATCTTAGTGAACTCCGCGTACGCAGTAAAGTTCCTCAATTCAAAGTTCCTCAGTAGTGAGGAACGGCTGGCTAGCGATGCTAAGAAGAACCCCAAGGCTTTTTTTTTCGGTATGCTAGTGGTAGGTGTCAACAGTAGATCGGGCCGCTAATGAACGAAAAGAGGGAGTCGATTGCAAGTAATAAGGAAATGACATACTTAACGAGTTCTTCGCTTCCGTTTTCACTGTCGAATCCGACACGGCACCGACTTTGGACATCGGCGAGCATCGAGGATATTTCCATCACCGAGGAGAGGATCGTGAGTATGATAGGGGAGTTGAAGGTGGGCAAGGCGACCGGCCCCGGTGGGATTCCTGCGAGAGTCATTAAGGAAACCGCGAGAGTCATTAAGGAAACCGCGAGAGTCATTAAGGAAACCGCGAGAGTCATTAAGGAAACCGCGAGAGTCATTAAGGAAACCGCGAGAGTCATTAAGGAAACCGCGAGAGTCATTAAGGAAACCGCAAGAGTCATTAAGGAAACCGCGAGAGAAATATAGGTTCCGCTAAGAATTATATTTAAAAGCAGCTTCTCGCCGGGGGAAGTACCTAAGGACTGGACACTAGCAAACGTCGTTTATTAGCAAACTGAAAAGAAGGGCGAAAAGAGTAATCCAGGAAATTACAGGTCGGTAAGTTTCACGAGTATCACCAGTAAGAGAGCAAAATCGTGAAAAATAAGAATATGCTGACCTCCAGATGAAAAGTGGGAAGAAACAAATTTAAAGGTATCAATCTCCATTATGGTAGCTCTTGCGAAACGACAACGACCTCGTCGATGGCACAGAATTAAAATGTGCAAAAATTCATTTGTTCACAGAGGAGTGATTTTTGCGTGGGCGTAGTAAGAATTGCGTACGTTGATGTAGCTACCATAGTTGAATGGGAGCACGCAAGGATCCCAAAACAGAAGATTTTGGGGTAAAATCGCCAGGAAAAAAATGTTGCTCCTCTTCCGCAGTTTCCTTCATTTTGCACATTTCACGGGTAGGCATTGGCCATGCCTCGAGCGTTGAACTGCATTTCGGATTCGAGCCGATCCTCGAAATTTCCCTTTTCTAAGGTGAATCCGGCTGGACGAGGGTCGATTCCGTGAGTTCGACAGATCTGAGAGTCCGCTGATGGCTTCTTTCGCAATATTTCCGATGCCATGCCAAATTGTCATGGCCTTCCGATTGTTTCGCGGAAAATTCCGCTGCACCTGGAAGGACATGTCCCAACACGTGGGAATCATCATTCCCCATCATTCTCCATCATTCCGCCGTATCGCGACTTCACCCATCATCAGACACGCTCATACTTTGCTCAAGCCGACTCAGCCTCTCACTTTTCTCGTAAGAGGTCGCCTCGTTACAGCCACGACCAAGGTAAATCGAAGACGCTCTAGCTCTCAGGTAAAGACGACCCATAGACACAATGATGAGCTGTGATAAAGCCACCTTTAGTCCATGCTGAGGTTCCTTCTACTTTGCATTGAGATGCCAGGGTGTTCGCTCCCTAACTCCTCGAACAGACGCATAAATTGGGTTCCGGCCTGGGCCCTCTTGATCTTGCTCATTGCAGTTTTCCGAAGGTTTATTTTCTTTGTGGCAGTTGAATATTAAATTTGAGTTAATTGATTGGAGAGTATCTGCAGTGTTGCTTTATAATTTTGCCAAATGTTTTCTTGCTTGGTGCTTCATGTTCCTTTTGCTTTTTTTTTATTTGAAGAATTACTTCAATGTCACTTTGATAGATGATCTTTCGATAACATTGAATGATTAAAAAATCAAGCATTGATGCCATCGACCATAGAATATTTCTGAGAAAGGTGAAAACTATTGAGTAGGGGGGAAATGTACCGTAGAAGTTATTTAAATACCTGAAGAACAGGCAACAGATAATTACCATCAGCGCTCCTAAATTGATCCATTTAACAAACGAGTGCGGGTCTCCTTGGGGTTCATTGCGGTATTCAGAATGGAAAGAAAGAAAGGAACTGCAGGGATGCATCGCATCATTTGGACGTCTTAATGGCATCAGAGCGCTGCAGATCCATTACACACCTCATTAGAAAGCACGATGCTCCTGTTTATATCCGACCAAGAAGGTGAAATCGATGACATTGGAAACTGGGATCCCCATAGATCCCCATGGTGTCTTTGATGACTGAAAACCTTGCAACTGAAGACACCCTCGCGTCACACTTACAAAGATCTCTTGGAGTATAGAAAAATTTGCTAATTTAAAATTCACACTCTTGAGGAATTTACTGTACGTGCGCCTTAAATAGTATAGCTGCTGTCAGATTTAATTATTGTGTAAAACAGATTGCTGTTCAAGAAATCCTTTGTCTCGGGTGCAACATTAACATTATTTTCCATTCTTTAATGCTGCCAAATTAGTGAAGGCTTCTTCAAATCAAGACGAAGAAAGCTGTACTATTGAGGGAATTGAGAACATCACATGGAGCAGGATATGTGATAAATTTTTGACTAAATTTAAGAGAATGTCACACTAAAAGCTGCATTTTATGGACCCTTCTCTCATCCAATTAAATTGATGATGGTGGGACTGCCACCTACAGTACTAGGCCAGGCACAGATCTGCCATTCCATCAGTTACTTTCTGGCAGGCCCTTATGAGACTGGCAGATTAATCTGCCTGACCTGAAATCTGACACTATTGATGGAGCATGGAAAGAGCTATGATATGAGGTACAAGTCATGTTTTCATGAAAACATTTTGAGTTGAAAGAGAGGAGGTCAAGATTGGGAAAGGCGATAGGCATATTTTTTCAAGTTTTCCCCTCTTTGACCAGAGCAAAAATGTTTACGTTTGTGGCTGTAGGGTGGGAGAGAATGGGAAGGCAGGCCGGGCTTGGACTAAACATGGAGCATATTTGAGCTGTCGTCACTACCTGATGCTTCGTATCTATATACCTTGGCCATGACTTCTCGTTTCGACCCTGATGCGACCCTAACTCTTCCTAATCTTCGCCCGACTGGTTTCAAGCGTTCCAGCGTAGGAAAAAAAATCATTCTGTTACTTTTGTCCCGCTTGCACAACTCCAACCAGTTCCCCCCCCCCCTGCAATATGCGAATTGAAGGGAAAAAACCGACTGCGTGACCTTTGCCCGTGGTGACCGCAAATTCCCATATGGGATTCCTCCCTCGTTTCTGGCGGATAGAGCCCTAATCGGTAATAGCAAATCGCCGTATCTGCATCATTTAGCCTCAGCAAGTCCCTTGAATGAAGCTTGGTAACATTTTTCTTAAACGTCCCCTAGAAAATTGTGTCCCCCGGGGGGATACAAATATTGCACTAGACGTTACTTCCCGAATGGAGTTTTCAGATGTTCTACACTGGGGTCTTGGGGATTCCTGTCGGATGGAATATTCGACACAGCCCATAGGAATTGCATCCGTGCAATATTCCCACTTCAGCATAATTGATAGCGGAAAATAATGCAATTGAAGCTATCTCCGTAAACATCGGCTTGAGTGACCGTTGAAGGTGCATGTATTGGCAACAAGACCGCCTGGTTTCTTGCTCCTGTTAGGGCCCCAGAAATGGAGAAAAAAAAAAACATTCATTTGAAAAAATCTCCCCGCAAAATTTGTGACCCCAGGACATGTGCCTCCAAAGTCGGATTTATTTTTAAACTCTGCATCCCAATAGTTTCTACTGTACCAGTTTTCAGATTTCTAACTTTTCGAGAACATCGTCAGAATCAGCGTCAGTCAGTCCCTCACAATCGTCTATATATATACTTTGTCCCACAAAATTTTTGAAACATATTCAGTTTGTAGTCACTCAGTGAATTGATTCAGGCCATCGCTGTGCGCCTTTGTGGATTGACTAATGCATTAATGCATTATTAATCATTAATGTGTAATGCATTAAACGAGCACATGCTTGCATTGTTATAACAATATCCTTTCCCTGGTTCTTGAAATGCAGGAGGTGATTCAAAACGTGCCAGCAGTAAAGTGGTGCCGCCAGAACTGAATAGGCGTACTTGCCGATGTCAATGTCAATGAATTTACAGGGTGTCCCATAAGTCCCCTTACTCTTATGACTTTTTTTTTCTGGTGAACTTTATTAAGGATTTGCGAAGATGGCAGAATATATGAGTAACCAAAACCCCTTAACGTTGTCAAGCGAGTGTTATTAAATGTTACTATAAATGTAAAAATACATAAATAACTAACTGCATAAGTTTTATTTTGCTACCCTATTCCACTAGGAAAAGGTTCAGGGGTAAAAAGAGACTCATGGGACACCCTGTACATCGTCCAGCCACTGGTGGCTATTCCTGAAGATGGCCAATTTAAATGTGAAGAGACAAAATCAGGATATTATTTCCAGACATATTCAGCGAATGGTCACTCGCGACTCGAAGACTTCGTAGGCCTCCTCGGCAAATTATTCAGTGGATCTTGAGGAGTTTGGCAAAGCTGGTCGTTTGTTGAGCTTCTGACCGTTCCGGCTCCTGCTTTTCCTGTTCCTGCTGCTTAGCCTTGTCCCCCCAAATGAAGTGAGAGCCGTCGCCGGTCCGCTTCACCCGTTTCTCCACCACCTCCGGGTCGACCGTCTTCAGGTCGTAGGCCTGGCCCAGGTAGGCGGCCGCGTCGATGAACATTGTTGTCAGGTTCACGTGGTACCAGGGTAGCTCCGAAGTCTTGTAGTCCCAGGGGAAGACATGGTGGTAGTTGTGCCAGCCCTCGCCGAGCGCCAGGGCTCCGACGATTGGTTGCTCCACCGGTCCGATGTTCCTAGAGTTTCATACATTTCATGCTCGATTTAGTTTATTTTACTTACTTTTTCTAATGGTGAATTTTTATTAATCTTAAATTTTGATTCAATTTTATTTTTGTTAATTTTATTTTTGTTAATTTTATTTTTGTTAATTTTCATTTTCATTAATTTTAATTTCTAGTCATTTGAATTTTTAGTAAATTTCAGTAAGTTCATTAATGCTTGCTATTTATAAATCTTATTATGTTAAGATTTTATGGTGATTCTTTTATGTTCCTTGTATGGTATAGAAGTAGTGTAGATGAACTTAACGGATGATGAGCACGCGGTCGCCATCGAATAAGACTGTGCTCAATAAGTCCGTATCGTAGGCGTGAAAACGCTAGGGCCGCTGACAAAACTTGTGAATTCCGGACGATGTGGCACGCTTAGTCTAGGACGGGGGTGCCAGACTTAATTAAGCAGGGGGCAGATGGGTGCCTGGGTCCACATTAGCAAATTTCCCACCCAAGTTTCAATTGCAAACGGGTTGAAAACCTCTGCATTTTTCCAAAACCAACAATCGTGAAGGACTTCGCTGGCCGGACAAAAAGGACTAGGACCTGTGAATCCGGCCCGCGGACCGGCTGCTTGATGCTTCAGTCCTAAGCCAGACCCGACGTTCGTGGAAGTCTTCCCCGGGACGGTTAGTATTTGGTATTTTATGTAACAAATATTTATCCTCATATTTTCATCATTTTTCGGTTCTTTCCAAAAAATATCTGAAAGTCCGGAGAAAATGCGGTTTTTTGAACTTCCTCACTTGTCATACGGCTTCTGTCCCCAGAGGTGAGCGGCACTGTTCACCAGCCACGTCCCGTGAACGGACAGGATATAGCGCCCGATGGAGCAGTACCAGAAGGCGACCCACAGGTCCTCCCCCCAAAAATACCATGGGGTCACGGCCGGGATGACGAAGCAGCACAGTATCGACAGCGGGAAGTAGAATCTGAGAAGCCGAGAAAAATCAGACCCAAAAAAAAGTTAATTTGTGACTCTAGTTACAAACGTAAAGATATCTACGAGTTAGTTAATAAATATGGCGCATGCTAATTAAGTGAACCAACCATGTCTCATTTTAGCATTTTCACTAAACATAAATGCATGCGAAATATCGAGTGAAATTCTTCCTGTGCTTTACATATAAGCACAAATGCTTCAACAGTTTAATTCATTTAATTCACGTGCCTATCGTACTGCATCCCATACCCCATGTTCTTGTCACACGTATCCCACATGCGCACGCCATGGAACCCCCAGAGAAAATGCATGCGTCAGTCTCACTCATAGGTTAACCTATATGTTAATCGGCGGTTTTTCGTGATCATGTTCCACTGGCCAGCTAGTACTGCGGCAGATCACTGCTACAAATCACGAGTCCCCACTAATGTGAGCGGATGTTATCCTATCTGGAAACAGACTAACACACATAAATGTAGGTTAATGCGGCTGTTAAGCTGTTAACGACTGGATACGGCATGAATTAACTAATCATAATCATAAGTTGATATGAGCAATCAGGGTAATATAAAAAAAATATAAGGATAGGAAGAGCTGCCAAGACATCAGAAGATAGTATCATTTCATACGGACTTCCACTGGTAGTAGACGATGGGATCCTCCAGGAGGTCGCTGCAGTCGATGGTTTTGCCCTTCCTCATCACTTCCGGATGCTTCCTGACCAGGAGCCATCCCATGTGAGCGAAGAAGAAGCCTCTCTTCGCGTTGTGTGGATTACCACGAATGTTCAGTCCTTACTTGAATGTCTATTGTGTTTAGGAAGGCCAGGAGGAGACGAAAGGGAAATTTCGCCTTATAGGCCCTATGACACCAAAGGCGATGAGCTCCTGCCGTTATTCCGAGTGCAGATGATATGCCCACAATGATTCCTTCAAGATGGATGCGGAAGATTGAGAAGGAAATAAGGATGGAGAAAGTTACAAATTTTCAAAAAGGTGTGAAGTATGAAACCTGACTTGATGGAAAATTTAACTTAAAACTTTTGCTCTAGTTTGTAAAACTTGAATCAACGCTTTTCATCTATGAAAATATTTTTACATACCAAACACAAAGGTGGTCCATGAGGCCTGAGTGCACGCAAGGTAGATGCCATACACGGCGCCAATGTGGAAGATCGAGAAGCGGATGATGTTCCCCCAGACGTACTGCTTCTCGTAGACCTTGTCCGTGGGGCCCGTGCCGACGTTCCCATGCTCTTGGGGCTCGGGCTCGTGCTCGTAGAGTCTCCCTGTCTCCTGGATGTCCTCCTTCGGCTCTGTCTTGCTGTTGTTGTCGTTGGGGGACATCTCTCTCTCTTTCTGCGCTTCTTGCTATGGTAGAGCAGAAGTTGATGGCTTTAATGCCTCGGGAGGGGAGGGTTGGCCCTGGGACTCCTGTCGAACATTCTGCACAGTTGCACATCTGACACAGTCCCACATACCACAAAGGCGAGTATCTCATATAATTGTGCATTGCTGTGACCTGTTCCTGTTCCGTGGGACTTCCCTTGGATGCATTTAGATGCATATGCTCTGTATTTATCATAGCTGAAGGCAAGAAAAAGTTGGATCCAATTGCTATCGTTAAGAAAACTGTCCTTGGTTTGGTACTTCCTATGTTCAGATTCATTTTTCGGCAAGTTCTGTTTCGTAGTCAACGAATTAGTCGCAAGAGCTGGGCGTGCTAGTGAGGCGCGGAAGAGTTGAATATTTTTTTTATTTGCAATAAGGTTCCGCATGAAAATTTGAAAAACGAAGAATTTTTTTTTCTTTTTTTTTTAAGAGGATCTTCTTGCTGTGAACCAGAGTTTGCTCGGGTAATAGTGTAAGGTCTAATACCCTTTGTCACGGGCACGGACCAGGCATGCGGCTTCGCGACCGGTTTCGCTTCTATTGAACCAGAGAATTGCGTTGGGCAGACTTGAATCGATGCACCGTGTCGATAGTAGCCTCAGCGGGTCGCGGGTCGGCATGGGAGGAAGGAGGGAGGTCAGGAGAGAGAATCGACCGATCGCGATCCTATCGACTCACTCTCGCTGGACAGACCCTTCCATCCGCTCCCGTTGGGTTTCCAGCTCGCCTTTCTTTGGAAACCACAGAGAAAAAAGGAGGTAATTATTCGACAGCTTTGCGGGTCTGCTCCCTCGTTACTCCCTCGTTACTCCCTCGTTACTCCGCCGTGTCGATGGGGCAACATGGGCAACGCGGGTGAAATGCCACCGTGGAGAAACGACGGACCGGCGAGTTCCCTTGGATTCCTCGGGAGAGATCCCTTTCATTTGCTCTCCGGTGAATCCTACGAGGAAATGTATCCATTGTCTCAGAACCAGCTTCTAGGAATTATGCTTCTGGTTGACCTTGCTCCACTGCCCTGAAAAATCGAAAGGAGGAAAATTCGATCGAAGAAAGTGAGCCGACCGTTGAGGCCTCGAGCAACCTTGTTATATTTACATAACAAGGGTAATATGTATATAACCTTTGTTGTATGAATGAGTTTGTTTGCCTTTCGGGCTAACAAACTCACTGTGGTCCCGTTTCCCGTTAGATCATTAAGAATCATTTTGGAAGCGACAAAACTTGCTGAGATTTATCTCGGGGTCATCATTCCGATGATTTCCTCGTCAAATCCCTCTTTGTGCCCCTTTTTGTCACAGCGGAAAATGAGTCTTTGAAGGACTTCCTTTCCGTTATCTGCCGTGAAGGACATTTGCGAATATTGTGAATTTTTCTACAGCTATCCCTCAGAATCGTATAATAAAAAATTGGGAACATAAAAATAATTTGAAAAAATAATATGCACTGAAGGGTTTTACGTAGTAGGTACATTGTTTTTTTTTATCTTTTTTTTATTTATAGAAATCAGTACTATGAGATCTAAATGCCTGCTGCGTTTCAACCTCTTACAAATGGAATGGCCTTTTGCCAGATGCAAAAAGATCTTTGGAAAAGCTGACCCACCCAAAAGTCATGTCCTTAGGAGATGCACCACAAAAAGCAAATTTTTCCTGATCACAACATCACGCCGGTTATGCGTGTGCCACGTTTCACCGTTCTGTTCCCAATTCACTATGACAAAAAAATTATTCGAAAACGTCACCCCCCCCCCCCAAAAAAAAAAATATATATATATATATGCTCCTAGGGGATACGCCTGAAACTCGTCGTTTTTCCTGAACCCAGTGTCTCAGTAGGCAAGTCCACGCCAAGTTTCTGCTTTCCACGTCTCTCCGTTCGAAAGCATCTCCTGCCAAAATGCGTGCCCTCGGGCAGGTACTTCAAAAGTCTGATTTTTTTTTCAGAACTCTTCAAGCAAAAAACTATTTTTGTACCAAGTTTGAGATTTCTAACTTCTCCAGAACCTGGTTTGAATTAGCGTCAGTCACTCACTCAGTCAGATATTTATCATTCATATTCATTTTTATTCATTAATTTAAATTAGGGCTGTACCGGTGGCTGATTTTGCCGGTGGTGCAACTCCGGCGGCCGATACATCGGTACGGCCCGAATTTAAATAGATCTTTGAGAGGTCTTAAGAAGACATCTGCCTGCAGCCAATATTCAGGATCGGCGAATTCGCGATTGCAACACTAAAGTCACCGTGTCAATAATCGCTAAGCACTCACGCCCTGATTGGACCAAGGGACACTGATGCCCCTGGGCCCAACCCGCATTCTCTCGATCGCCACATTCCGAAGACCTTCACTCGAAAGTCCGTCAAGTCCACTACCGAGTGCGGACTCGTATCGCAGCCTCGAGTTGGGTTCCGGTTAGACGTGGGTGTCTTGTCATCAATCTCACGAGTTTTTAAACTATTGTCCCTTCATGAAACAATGGAGGAAGAATCCTCCGAGATCTCTTCCTCCCTCTTCCTCCCTCCTCCTCCGTCCTCCCTCTTCCTCCCTCCTCCTCCCTCTTCCTCCCTCCTCCCTCTTCCTCCCTCTTCCTCCCTCTTCCTCCCTCTTCCTCCCTCTTCCTCCCTCCTCCCTCTTCCTCCCTCTTCCTCCCTCCTCCTCCCTCTTCCTCCCTCCTCCTCCCTCTTCCTCCCTCCCCACTCTTCATACTTGCTAGGAAGTCCTTCCACGCAAGGATCTGCAAGGACGCTAGACTCAGTCTTCCTTTGTCTTGTCCTTGTCTCAAGTCCTTTGAAGTGTTTGCTTCGAATTTCCCCCCTTGAATCCAATATTTAGATTGCTGGTAAGTTATGAATCATGAATTATGATTGCTCATCAAAATTACTATGAAGCTGTCCTCTGATCGGAATGACTCTTTCCACAAATTCCATGAGGCCCATGACCGTCACGCTCCCGATGGTCATGAACCTCATCCAAAGCCGAATTGGACTGGGGGTGGGGGGGGAGGGGGGGGAAGGGGGGAAGGGGGGAAGGGGGGAAGGGCCCCCTCTTGATGCCGTATCTGATCACGAAGAGAGGACTGAGCCGAGAATGCACTGTGTGATGCGGACAGAAAAAGGATTTTGTGGATTTTTTGGCTAATTTTGTGGATTTCGTCCGTCGCATGCGTTACCGATCCAAAGTGGATTGAGAGAATCGTTACGCCACCTTCGACGTTGAGATGAAATTCTAGAATTCGCCGTTAAGAACTCCACGCGACTCTTCTGAGTGTTCATTCCCCCCCAGAAACTTCAGGAAAAAAGCTTTCTAAGTGAATCGTAATGCACGTTGCACGTAATGCACATCTTTTTTCCTGGGTGCAGCGATAATCCACCGTAAACTTTTTCTTGCCTACTATTTTCGTTGCACGTGCATATGATAGAACCGGCGACGGACGCATATTTTTTACGCTCTATAAGTTCCTACGGTTAGCTTTTTTTAAATCTCTATATGGTATCTAGTGGCGGCATTAAACGTACCAAAACGTTTTCTTTTTAACTTTTCTCCGATCTGCTTCGACTTTTCGAATTAGTTAAAAGGCCATGAGTTCCAATTACCTGAGCATATTCAACGGGGATTTTTGCTTCAGCAGCCACAATTCCCTTCTCCCCCCCCCCCCCCTCTCTCTCATCCCACTGTCCCAAACGGGATTTCATCGTTCCAAACTCTGGAAAGATGCAACTTTCTATATCAGCAGTTGCATAAAATTTTCGAGAAAAATATTGCTGAAATGTTCTGAAGGTCTGTTCACCCGATGGTAAAAAAGAAATCCGGAAGCGGACCAATTGAATTGAAATCGAAACTTGGAATAAATTTGAGAGAAATCGTCCTGCCGCTGTTCAGATGGCCGAACGAGAGACTTGACGAAGGTCGAATAGGCAAGCTATCAATGCAAGAAGCTATTCGGGGATTGTCTTCTCCGCTTACTTTGATGAGGCAACTGCGATCTGAAGGGCTCCCAAAGCGGCGGGAGTAAACACTCACAATAGGAAGCTGTCGGAGACTGAGCAGGAGGGAGGCAAGGTGCGACACCATCCTTGCGCGGGCGGTCCGACTCCGGGGAAGCACCCGTTCGTGGAGCTATCTCAAGGGCGCGGGCCCTTCGTAACCTCCGGGATGGTGTCGTCAGATGTTCTACACTGGGGGTTTGGACCTTGGGATTTGTGCTGCATGGGATTTTCGGCTCAGTCCATAGGAATTGCAACGGGACACCAAACGGAACGAGAGCGGAAAAGCCCTTGAGCATAAATGCATAATGTTCCTATTTAAACTTGTGCAATAGGGAAAAATATTGCAACTGAAGCTACCACTGTTCTCATTCTGAAAAGCGTTTGGTGAGTCACCGTTGAAGGTGTAGATTAAAATAATAATATATCATTGGTAGCCGGACCGAGACCGCAAAGCTTCTTGCTCCCCTTAGGGCCAATACCGAAAACAATTGACGTGTGAACGAAACCTACCATCGAATGCAACAAACTTACCGGGGTCCACTCGTGCCAGTCGTGGGCCTAGGCAACCCATGAGGAGAGTCGAGGGGTGTTCCAGCCTGAGGGACTGTGATTCGGTTGCCTAGCCAAGCGGTCTCCCCCCCCCCCCCCCCCCCCCCCTCCCCCCNACTGACCTGTCTCATGGGCCCCCCCCCCCCCCCCCCCTTCCATTTCTCTGCATTGTTGGCGTCTTTGTCCGCTGCACGTCCAGTCTTTAAAAAAAAAAGTGATTAAGCTACTGCGTTTCCACGTGGCAGGCCGCATTCGGGATCGCCTTCAGCTCTTTCGTAGCATTTTGAATTATTTATTCTTCGCTTTGGAATCTTCGCCCTTTCGATTCAAATTTAAGTCTGGGGACAATAATAATAAATTCAGGGGGACGACTACGACGCTGTGCTTTGCCAGGTAATGCCGAATCGACAACGCCTTGTGCGCGGACGCATTGTCATCGGTGTCGCGTTCTCGCTTTCCAATTTTCAGGCCGTTTTCTGCGTCTCGCACGCGCTTCAATACTTCCAAATAGGACTGTTGGTTAATTGTTCGACCTGCAGGGACGAATTTGTAATGAACGAGCAACGATCAGCATTGCCTTCTCATTCGGTCGAACTTGCCGCGCTTTTCTTGGTCTCTGGGACGTCGCGCCCTTCCATTGCGATGATTGCTGTTTTGTCTCAACGTAGTACCCGTTTTTAGTACGACGTTTTTGAGGAAACCTTCATCAACGTTTGCGCGTTGATGAAGGTTTCCTCAAACAGAGTTACACAATAACCCTTTTTAATGTCGCGCGAATGTGTCATGTGATGCGCGCGCAGCAGAATCAGTCCGGGAACCTTTTGAACGCACCTTGTATACAGTAGTTCCGTGCAGACTCAGATGGATTTCTTGCTAATTTCGAAAATTCGGCGGAAATGGAAGATCCTCATTAATCTAAAATATTCACGCGAGGAAGATTGGTTTATGCCGAAACGTTCAATCGACCTTGGAATGAGATAAAACTGAGCAATCCGGCAACCCACTCCGACATCCGCTTGACAATGTCGGGCAGGGTTGCCGGATCACAGTGGGCTTTCACAAAGCATGGAAATGTGAAAATATCTATTTTTTTTTATTATCCGACACGCCTATGCCGAACGGGTCGCATCTGGCATACCTTTGGGAAGTGTTCACTTTCCTCCGGGTGGTCTTGTCGCAGTCGCAGGCATCTTCTGTTGATTGTGGAAAGCAATTTTATCAGGAAAAAATCGAGAGCACATATCGGGAGAGTCGCACATGCATGAAGGGTATGGATCGGGTTCTGGCTGATGCATCTCGAGGAAAATCTCCTGTTTCGCAACAAAAAAGTTTCTGCGTGACGCTCTGCTGACATTGCTGCAGGATCGCATTTCCTTTTTCGTACATTCAGTTAGAAATTCTTTTTCAAATGCTGACTAACCGTACTCAGACTAGGAGTGAACCCGAGCACTCAAGGATCTCTCAAAAGGGGGCGGCAATAGCGAGGCGACCCACTCGATGGCCTGGGTGGTCTCATCCCTTGACCTCCATCCCATGCTGGCAATGGAGGAACCGGATGTCACGCGAAGGTGGATGTCGGTCGCTGTACCTTTCCTCTGCCTCCAGCAGGATATTCTCTCTTTTCTCCCTCAGACTTAATGCATAGATTCAGTGCCATCCCGGATACTGTGCATCGATGATTTATGCGGTAAAACTTGTCTGCATTTCTGCGACTTACAGGCTGAGATTCCCTTTTGGCAGACGGAAAAGTATTTTTGCATCGGAACTGTGTGCAGATGTGCAGTCTGGAAAAAGGAATACGGAAAAGAACAGAAGAAAAGCGATTATCGGCTGCTTTGCATTTTTTCTCAAGTACTCAGGCAACTCTGCATGAGCTATGTACATGAATAGAAAGGAATCACCTCGATCTTCCCCACCGCCCCACCTCCTATGCTTCTCACGGCAGTTCAAAGGGCGAGAAGGGAGGCGGTCGGTGCACAA